TGAGTTGCCTACTTACCTAAATTGAGAAACACGTTCAAATTGGAATAAAGTCAACTATAATTCAAGAAAGAAAATTTTGTTTTAATTTGAATGGATGATGACCCACGTTTAATTTGGGTGAACACTTGATTTCACACGGATAATTACTGTGCCCATTCAAATAAGTTGTCTACATATCTGAATCTAGGAATAAATCTGAAACATAATCAAGTCGACTATAATTCAACAAAGAAGATTTAGGTTTTAATTTGAGTGAGTAACATTTGATTTTATTTTTGACAATGCAATAATTGTCAAAATGGATTTGTAATCAATGCAATCCACAATAAAATTTTCTTGTATAAGCCACTAAAATTGTGGCAATTAAATTTGGATTCTTAGTAGACTAGATTTAATTTAAGAGATGAATACAAATTTGATGAAATTAGGGGGACTTGCACGCCAGTCTTATAGACCACACTCAATACCCAACAAGTTTTATTTCAAATTAATAGGTCTACGTTTTCAAATTTATCCTCACAAACCAACCTATTAAACTACAATTTTCAACCCACACCGATTCTCATAAGGAACTCACTGCTTTTCCAAAAATTCTCAACGACAGAAAGAAGGAATTTCAAAATGACATAAAAACCTCACTCAAGATTTATTAGGGAATAACTCCAATCAATAGGATCGATTGGTAATTTTGCCATGAAATTGTGGGTCTGAATAAAGAAAAATTCTATTTTCACTCACCAAATTATCACTGTGTACATCTTTTCTCAATCTACACATTTAGTAATTTGATTTTTACTTCTTTATCTCAGTCCACACACTTCACATTCCAAATATACCCTCACCTTCTCTATGCACACTTTTCTTTCCCACCTTTGTCTTGACTCTCTTCTAGAGAGAGAGAGAGAGAGAAACTAATATAGAGATATAGAGAGAGATAGGAACAAAAAGAAGGTAATAGATATATAGAGAGAGAAAGTGTAGATAGAGAGAAAGACTGTAGAGGGAACGATGAAACACATTTTCAAGAAGCTTCACATAGGGGGCAATCACGACCCTAATCGATCGAACGAAATTCCTTCGACTGTCTCCCCTACATGTGGCTCTGATCATCGCGTAGCTTCCTCCGGCCAATCGCCAACGAGTTCGTCGACCTCTTTTTCTCCTTCTACCGCCGTCGACCACTTCGACAGAATCGGCAGTCAATACTCAAGACTACTACTCATCGTTGTCGGAGTATCAGGTTCAGCTAGCTCTAGTTCTGAGTGTTTCGCGGTGGGAATCTGGGGACGATCCCGAGAAAGATCAGATCCGGGCTGTGACATTGCTAAGCTTGGGCTGGCACTAGGGGTGTTCACAATCCGGATTGGTTCGGTTTTGAGAAAATCTAAGAACCGAATCGATCCGATCCTAACGGTTTTGTGATTTTGGCAACCAAACCAGACCATTACACTTATAAAACCGGACCAGAACCAAACCGAAATAACGGTTCAGTTTCAATTTGGTTCACGGTTTCAAAAATTTCTATTTACAAGAATAAATTGTTAATATTAGCAAAATAATTACTCAAACTAATTACATTTAACTCATGATAAAAACTAATAATATTAAGACATTACTCAACATTACATATCTATATCATCCTAATATCATTAAAATTACAAAAAATCAATTAATAAAAATAAAACTTGATATTAAATATATATATATATATTTTAAAATTCGGTTCGGTTCGATTCGGTTCGGTTCGGTTCGAACCATGATTTTTTCATAAAATCCATTAACCGAACCGTTTTTACGGTTCACAAATTTCTTAAACTGAAACCGAACCGGTTCTTAATAGAACCGAACCAAACCATATGGTTTGGTCTGATTCAATCCGAATTACCGATTTGAACGGATTTTTGAACAGCCTTAGCTGGCACGAGAGTAATTCGATTCGAGAGAGGGATGAAGCTACTATGGATTTGTTGTTGCAGCTGTATTGGATGAGTTTGGTAGGGTTGAATTTTATGAAATTTTTAAGTGTTGCATAGTAGTGGGTGAGACATGTATGGAAAAATTGTGAGATGTGTGGGTGATATAGTAATTTTGTTAAAGGATAAAATTATGATTTTTGAAAAAATTCATTAAATATATAAAGTAAGAAAACTTAATGTGTGAAAATAAAATTTCTCCAGAATAAAGCCTTGAGAGGCTAAGTATTTGGTCCACAATTAGATGGTAGTTTTCAAGACTTTCAATGCGGCCTTTAAAGCCATTGACCTGTATTTTTGTTGGGCCTTTTGAAAGGCTTTTAAAGGAGGAACTTTGGGCCTGTAAAGGCAAAGCAAGAAAAGTTTATTATTGAACCTCGTTTCATAGTGTGGCTGACCGGTAGGTCTCCTATATAAAATATAAAATTTATCCAATCAGAAAATAAAATATTTGAATCAATTAGTTTTATATATTTTTAATTATTATAAAAAATCTTTTATTAAAAAAATTTAAATATGTTGTCACATCCCACATCTGTCAAACTTTCATTACATAGTCACCAAAGACTCACTGAAATATTTAACATCGCTAGGAAGTCATTGGAGTATTGTCGAAAATTAGCCGGAGTGTTATAAATATCATTGGAAGTTGCCAAAATATTTAGAACGTCGTTGGACGTCAAGAATATCGCCAGAGATTCATCAGAATGTTCAGAATATTACCAAAAAAAAATAGAGAAATTAGAGCGAAAAATCATAGCAAAATTGTGCTAAATAAACTGAAAGGAAAAAAGAAAAAAAAGAGAGTAACAAATGGAGAAAAAATATAAGTTATTTTTCAATTTTTGTATGCTTTAAACAAATAATCTCCTATATTGATCAAACTGAAAAGCATGCTTTGAAATTGTAAAATTTTTACAATTTCAATGCATAATTCTATTAAGCATTTCTACTTATTAATCAAACTGAAAAACATGTTACTAAATTGTAAAATTTTACACTTTAAATAATGTTATGAAACTACACAAATTTTACAGTTTTAAAGTATGATTCATTTTAACATCTAAAAAATTCAAATTAGAAAAATTTATAATTTTCACCGCCTGTAACTAAACTTGAAGAAAAAAATTGTATAGAACTTGAAAATTTTCTCCATTAAAATAGGAAAGGAGAAGTGTGTAGCAGAAAAAAAGAAGAAAAATTGAAAGATTGACTGAAAGAGATAGATATAGAGAGAAGATTGTACTCTAATAACTATTTTTAATTTAGATATAGTTGGATTTGATGTAGATCTATGCATCTCTTTCATTGAAAACTTATCTTTTTTGTCGTCAGTGAGGGCGAAATAAGGAATTGGTGTTTAGTAGTTGCAGGTGAACCCCCAATCGATGATGGTCGCCGGTGACTGTATATTAGAAAGAGAAAGAGAAGAAAGAAGGCAAACAGGACTTTTGACTTTACACAAAAAATTATGAGACTAAGAGGTTGCTTGAGATGATCTATATGAGTGTATTTTTTGACTTTTTAGCTAAAAAAGTAGAGAGAAAAAAGATGTATGTTTAGGATAATTTTTTGACTTTTTATGAAAAAATGTGTAATAAAATATTGTATCAAATATCAAAATTACTCTTATACCCTTCCGGACACACACTGTGTGCATTTAGTGCATTTCAAATTTTTTTTGACTTTGGGAATTCGTGGCTTACATTTAGCCACGTCAGTGGATTTGGTAAAATGTAGATGGAAGGTACATATGATAACACTGACATACACTTTTGGCTATTAAATTCAAAAGGGCAAATTTGTAATTTTGCCCTCTGTCTGCTCAGCATTTTTTTTCCCACCTAAACATGTGAACAGTGTTAGTTTTTTTACTTTTTTAATGACTTTTTAACTTTTTTAAGAGATGCCAAACATCCACTAAATAGAGTACACATCATTCAAAGAACACATTCGAATAATTTGTCCTTTAAATGCTTGGGTTTTGGCAGGCCCAAATTAAAGGAGTTGTACGGGCTGTCAACTTAGAGGCATTAATGGACTAAAATCTGGGCTTGTTTGAAGCTAAATTTATGTGCCACCAATTTAAAGCCCTTTAAAATGGCAATTTCAAGAACTTTGCGGGCTGTTCAAATTTTATAGGCCTTCAGCACACTTTTGAGTTCTGTTTGGGCCATGAGTGCTGCCACTGTGAGCTAGGGCAATGCAAATAAATTGCAAATCAAACTGCACAGTTTGATTTAATTTTTTCAATATACTGTTTAGTTTTGGTTCTTAAAATAGGTGAGTCATGCTTATAGTTCTATCTGTAATTTTATAATTAAAAATAAATAAATAAATAAATAAATAAAAAGTAAACATGATTATTATATCGTTATTATAATTACATTAAGATATCTTTAATTATTAGTGAATCTCATCTTACTTTCCTCAATTAAATATTTACATTTTGACTCCATCAACTATAAATTCACACAAATTTGTCCTTTAAGGAAGCATAAAACTGTATTTTTTTTTTATAAGGATAAATTACACCAACCTCTCTTAAGGTTTGAAAAAGAAAAAAAATACAATAAGCTCCACAAATTTGACATTAATACACTAGGTTCTTCTAAGATTTTATTTTATTTAACACTTGGTCTCATTTGCATAAAAAATTTGTTAATCGTATGAATGGAAAAAAAATATTTTTTTTCATTTCTTTTATATTAAAATATATATTTTACTTTATGTATTTTTGTGTATTCATATCATATACATTAATTTTGATATTTTTAATCTTACTATACAGGAGGTCAAGAAAATTATAAAATTAACTATATTTTTTTTTTTTCAAATCTTAAGAAAGACTAATATAATTATTATTTTTTTTTAATAATTGTGAAAGTTAAAATGTATAAATTCATAAATAATGAGAATAATATGAAAATTATCAATAGTTTAAGGGCCTAACCTAAAAACTTTCTTTTAAGGTCATTTTGGACATTTCCTCACAAAGACAACATATATACCAAACCCTAATCCCCACTTCACACTCTCCCTCAGAAAACCCTAGCCTCCTCTTCTTCCTCTATCTTCCCTCCCCAAAAAAACCCTAGCCTCCCCTCTCTCTCTCTCTCTCTGCTCCAGCCATGGGTCGCGTTCGTACCAAGACCGTGAAGAAATCATCGAGGCAAGTGATCGAACGCTACTACTCGAAGATGACACTTGATTTCCACACCAACAAGAAGATCTTGGAAGAAGTTGCGATCATACCCTCCAAGCGCCTCCGCAACAAGATTGCCGGCTTCTCCACCCACCTCATGAAGCGGATCCAGAAGGGTCCAGTTCGTGGGATCTCCCTCAAGCTCCAGGAGGAGGAGAGAGAGCGTCGCATGGACTTCGTCCCTGACGAATCCGCCATCAAAACTGACCACATCGAGGTCGATAAGGAGACAATCGACCTCCTTGCTTCCCTTGGAATGAGTGAAATGCCTGGTGTTGTGCTTAAGGAAGAGATCGGGGTCTCTGCGCCGGCGATTCCGCCGTATGGTGGTGGCCGTGGCGGTGGGTTCGGTGGCGGTGCTGGAAGGAGGTACTGATGAGGCTGAATGGTAATGGGTTCTGCTTAGTTTGGGGTTTTTTGATGTTGTCAGTAATGGGTATTGCGTAGTTTTGGTTTAAGATGTGGAGTTTATTGCTATTTGGTTTAATTTTCATAATGTTTGGAACAATTTTGATGTTAAGCACATTTTGTTTTGGATTAAAAATGGAGTTTTTATAGCTTTATTTGGTTCCTTATCCATTTGAAAATGGAGATTATGTCTTGATATTAATTGTTGGTAATGGGTTGTACTTAGTTTGGGCTGTTTTTTATGTTATCAGTAATGGGTACTGCTTAGTTTTGGTTTAAAATGTGGAGTTTATTAGTATTGTGGTTTAATTTTTATAACGTTGGAACAATTTTGATGTTTAAGCACATTTTGTTTTGGGTTAAAAATGGAGTTTTTGTAGCTTTATTTGGATCATTATCCAATTGAAAATGGAGATTATGTCTTGATATTAATTGTTGGCTATTTTTTTGGGTGAATAATTGTTGGCTATTGATCTTGCGGTAGTTTGAGCTTTATCAAGCAATATTTATGTTGTTAATGTTGGGCATTCAATAGTTTGCTTCAAGGATCAAGAATATAGATGGACCATAGGATTATTTAAATTACTTTTGTGGTATAGTTGATGAGAGGTTCAGGTGTTTGCGGGTTGCTCAGATAATACAATAGATGTATGTATTAGTGATTCTGGTAATACTATTTTAGAACCAATTTTGAGCAACTATTTTTTTTTTCAATTTTATCTGCATATTGTTATGTAATGGTTTAATTTTGACTTTCTTTAGACAGATTAGATGTTAGTCATGTACCATCTTTCTTTAGAATGGATACTGCTGTGTAGCTAAATGTTTTTTCCATGATTTGATTGTTAGAAAGTTTGATGCTGGTACCAAGGGGAAGATTTGAGGACATTTTTTGGCTTGTTTTTGTGAGTTTAGTCTTGAGAGATGGAGGTCATATGTGAAATTTTAATTTTATTATGTATTAGATTTTGGTATTATCATTCTGGGTTATATTGTATGCTTTGATTTAGGGAGGTTATAGTGTATTTGAAATTATGTTGATGTTTTCACTGCTAGTTGTTAGTTTCTTGCCGAAAAACAGAGATTATGAATTTGATTTTTGAGCCACTGTAATGTGGTTTTTGAATGGCATTTTCTATCATCATCTATGGCTCTGTGAGCATTGAATTTTCAGCCTACTACTACAAATGAGCTCTTAAGTTGGGTACCCAATACCACCTGCACTCAAGGTTTGGTGGTGAAATTGCTTGATGCTATAGTTATTAAGCCTGGAGGCTTTTAGTCCGTTTTGATGTGTCATTCATTCTTGCCTTCTGGTTCGATTATATTCTGAGTTGAAAATTCATTGATCAATTCTTGTTATCATTTTTTGTAACAGTAAATGGGATTATATTGCATTTCATGTTTAATTGAATTCATTTCAATGAAAAGGTTAGAAGCTGGAACTGCTACATTGTTTAGCTATTATGCTTTTTTTTACATTTGAACTGACCTTTGAAATTATTTTTCACTTCCGATTCAGAACCCCACTGAAATCAACCCCCATGACCCCCAGCTGAGCTGGTAACTGTCATTAGTGTGTGAAGAATACTTGCACTGTGATAAGGTGTGATACACGCACTGTTAGATTAAAAAACAAAAACAAAAAAATAAGCGCCCTAAACCTGAACTTTCACTCTTCCCTCGTCCGTCCGTCTGCCCCTGTCCCTCTTCCCGCTTCTCTCTTCCGTCCACCATAGCTCTCTTTCCCAGAAAACGACAGCCATAGCTCTCCAGGAACTTGCTGTTTCTCTCGCTTCGCTTCGTCTCTGTTTTGATCTGAGATTTTTGTATTTGGGACATACCCATGTGGTGAAAGGACAAACCCATCTCTCCTTTTTGTCAGTGGTGATGATCTTGGGGAGTTTGTGATATATCATTAAAAGGGTTTCTCTTGTTTGAAGAAAGCCTTGTTAATCAAACACACCCTTACCCATTTCTCTATTCTCATTGTGAGATCCTATTTTAGTGCCCTTCACTGTTTCTCTTTGGAAATTCTCATTGCAGATGTGGGTTTGTGACTTGAAGGTCATTTATGTGTGTAAAATGCCCAAATACACAATATCCATAATTGAGTTTTGAGGTTAAATTGTTGTGAAGATGCAATCTAGGCTAGTGGTGTTAAAGGAAGGCAAAGACCCTTCCACCACCATTATTAGAACAAGCTAATCTCGGGGTTCACCATTGAGAATTCTGCAATTTCTATTGGTCTTTTTGTTCATTGGCATTATCTTTTTGGGTATGGACATTACATAACCTGCCTGTTTTGGAGAAAAGAAAAACATAGACTTAATCAAAAAATTTTTTTTTTTTGTTGAGAAATAGAGAGCACAAATCAAGTTTTTTTCAATTTGTTAATGTGTTCAGTGTTCCAGTTTTAGAAATAGAGACTTAGGCCTCGTTTGGGAACAGGCTAATTTAGTAACTTTTTGGCTATTTGGCTAAAAAGGTAGGTAAAAAAAACTTGTATGTTTGGGATGACGTTTTGGCTAATTACGAAAAGATGTGTAAAAAGTAGAGAGAAAAGAGAATCATTGACTTTTTGGTATGGGTTGTTGGCTTTTTGGCTAATTTAGTAACTTTTTGACTAATTGACTAAAATAGCCTCTTGCCAAACGAGGCCTTAATCAGCTTCAGAAATAATCAGTTTTTCAATTTGACAAATAGAGAAGTAGAGAGACTTAATCAGAATGAAAGAGGACGTCACGCGTCGGAATGAAAGAGCGGAGCTGTTGAGGGAGAACTTTGGAAGGATAGAGAAAGAGGAGAACTTTGGAAGGATAGAGAAAGAGGAGCTGTCGGGCGTCGGAGTGAAAGGGACGTTGGGCGTTGGAGTGAAGAACAGAGAAAGATCGGTGTGAAGGGGAGGAGCTGTCCGGGGAGAACTCTGCCTATGTGATAGAGATGAGAGATCTGTATCTCTCTGATAAGATAACGAGGCAATTTTGAATTCTGAATGAGAAGTGAGAAAGAGGGGGTGCGTGGCTTTGAAAGTCACGGGACCGCTCACGGGAGCTCAGCTGGGGGTCGATTTATGAGGGGGTCCGAAGCATTTCTGATTATTTTTTTGGTGTTGATTTTGAGGACAGTTTTCATGTTAGCATCAATGTGTTTGTTGGGGTAGATATGTCGGACTTTTTGGTTAGATATGTTGTACTTTTTGCTCTAAATTTACAAGGTTTCACCTGTTAAATACGTTGAAGTACAGCCACATTACTTGCTATGCAGCTCTTCTGATTCAATTATGTTGATTTTTGGGAAGGGCTTTCTTTGGGGTTTTTTGGGCTAAAATTTACGAAAGGAGAAAATAAGTTAAAATAATTAATAAGATAAAATGTCATATTAAATTAATAATTATTTTATTTTTTCTCTTACAAATCTTACATCCAATTACAAAAAAATTTAATTATCTTTCTAAATACAAAAATTTTTAGCAATGATAGGGACCCCCTTTGTGGAGGACCTCCACAACCCCTTTTGTGATCCACACCATTCATGATGTGGACCCCACACATCATGAATGGTGTAGATTAGTGAGGGGGTTGTGGGGGTCCTCCATAAAAGGGGGTCTAACTCATTTTTCAAAAATTTTAGCCTATTAAAATAGTTAAAAATTAAAATAGTCTACTAAAATAGTAAATTTTCAAACACCCCCTAAAAATGGTTCTCTACTTTTTGGTGGTTTTAGTTCCTTTGAGAATGTACTGTTTGAGAATGTTCGTAGTATTTGTTCTTATGACTCGCTAACATTGTTGGCTTGGCATTCCATTTTGATGGTTTATGGGGAAAAATAATTCCCCCCTTGATTTCTAAATTTTGTGTTCGATCTGGCCAGGAAGTGACTTGGATCATAGCAAATGAATGAAATTTATTCGTAGTCCCTTCCATCAATTCAAGTGCTCTTGTTTATATTGGAGTGACGATGGTTTGGTCTGGAATTAAACTAAGCCCAAACTACTATTTATGGTTTCATAAAATTTAGAATAAGTCAAACCATGAAAACGCAGTCAAGTTTGATTTGGAATCACAATTGCACAACTTACTCAAATATCAAGTAATATATTATTAGTTTAAAACAAAATTGTTTAAATAATTATTTAAAATTAGTTTTAGGCCAAGTTTGACTATCCTAAATAAGTACACACTTTTTATCTTTTTATTTTTTTTTCATCACATCATCTCTCTCTTTTTCTGCACATCTTTTCGTAAAAAGATAAAAAATACACTTATTTAGGTCATCCCAAACAACCTCTTATTATTATATGGGAGCACTAGTAAGCAAAGAGTTAACAACCAGTGTCTACTATAAATTATATATATGTATGTATGTAAATTAGAACCATAATTATAAATCATGGATCTGTCTATTTTAAGAATCATGATTAAATCATGCATTGAGAAAATCAAATCAAACAACACAATTTGATTAAATTGGACCAATTTACAAAATGTTTTTAGTTTTTTTTGCTAACCCTACAAGTATATGGCCATATTTGTTCCATCAAGAACTATTATTCCAACAGTCACTAGGAATTACTTATCCTTTAAATCCATGTTTTGTTTGAGGACATCACATTGGAATCAGACTAATAATCTAACAAAATACATAGCAGTCCATCTGAACTTAAAATAACCCATATGGGGAATTATTGAATCCCAAAAATGAAATACAAAATGAGAGATTAAAGAGTGATTTGAACTGATAGAGTAAATTACCAAATTAATAAAATTTTGTCTCTTGATAATCATTAGTCAATTCAATTATGAACTAGAATATACAATCCAAGAATCTCCAGGTCTTTGGCCTTAAGAATGTTGATCCCACCTAATTTAGTTCTTCCATGTTTGTTCTTCCAAACAAACATGGCTCCGCATATTATCCCACATTTAAAATGTGCCTAAATTAGTATATTTGCTTAGAATCACTAAGCATGAACTACATAGTCAATACCCTCTTAATCTTCCATTTTGTACCTCGCCCCCCACCTCCCAGATGGGGATATCATGTCCAGATTGTACTATTAGTCTGAAGCTGTATCAGCGAACACTGTCAAAAGTTTAAAAATATTAAGTTACAAATGAAACAAACTTTATCAAAATCAATTTGACATTCAATACTCTTTTTTTTTTCTCAGAAAAACACCATCAGGAACTTTATATGTTACAGGCCTCTAAAAGTATTAACTGCTACCAGCTCCTAACCATATAATGATCGGTTCACTTGTCGCAAAACAGCAACCAAAGGTGCAATAATACCGTTATGGCATGACAGGCAATCAGGAGGTTACTCGCTTGAATTAGCAAGACCAACCATGTTAAGCATATGGCGGTCCTCCTTAAATCTCTCCAGCACAGTACCTTTTGCAGCATCTTGCCTTTCTTGTTGGGCTCCTTTTGGCACAACCCTCCAGCATTCAATCACTTCTGGGCATATTTGGTTGGTCTTCGAGAGGCAAGGGCTCCCAAAAGTAGTGCAGGCAAAGGTGTGACCCTGATCGAAATTTGCTGAAACAAACAAGCCAAAGTGATTCACCCGTCCTCCAAAACCGATGCCGTTCGGAATGTTCGCTGAACTAAAATTCACAGCACACTACCAATTACAGAGATTTTAAGAATTATGTCAGTATTGTGGCTTAGGATTAAATAAGAGAGAACAAATTGGCTCATTCTAAATACTATTCATGTTGTCAACTAAAGAACAAATGCAATGAAATTCATCCATGCTTTTCAATTTAATCATTAACACTTATATAGGAACTGCAATACAATCCAAGTGACAAAGTACAACTTAAAATAATGTTATTAGTTTAAGATTCTTTATGCTTTAACTAATTCCATAAATCGACACTACTTCATCAGATACCAATGTTTAACCAACAACCATTTAACCAGAATGTGTCCTTCCAAAAATTGGTGTTGTCTCTCAAGGCACAGCTCTGAGTTCCCATTTTCTTTTCATGACCATACCACTCCATAGCGTACCAAAAAAACCAAAGGATAGATGCAGCAACCACAAGGCCAAAAGGTATGAACCTTTCAAAATAGAAATTGAAGGCTGCTATGTAGTATATTTACATTAGCACACATCAATATTTATTTCTTTGTGGGATGTTGAGATTTTTCACGTTGACTGTCAAGGTGGGTTAGAATTATCTTCTATATAGAAACTTCAAAACAAGAATACCTCAAATACTACGGCTCTGTTTGGTTGTATTATCAAAATACAATTCCACCATATCATTCACGCTACACGTTTGTTTAGGAGTTTCAAATCATAATTCCACACTCACTTTTGAAAACTCTGTCGAAGGCGGAAAATTTAAACTAACCGGTCGTCCCACCGGATGTCCTATCGGACGTCCCACCGGTTGACCAGAACAGTGCAAATAATTTTTTTTTGCAATTGATATATGTTAATTTTTATATATTCGAAAAAAATATTTTCCGAATTTTTAAATTTTTTTATGTGCTTTAATAGAATTTTGAGATGTATGTTTGGTTATGAGTTATAAGTTTTTGTATCAAATATCATGTCACATAAAAAATTCCCCACTCAATTCAAAACTCTCTTCAAAACTCTCTTCAAAACTATTTTCAAAACTTTTTCACCAAACAAATTTTCCACACTCAAATCATAATTTCAAAACTCACAGACTCAAAATACAACTCCTACTCTCAAATCATATTTAGAAAGCTTTACCAAACGCAACCTACATTTGTTAACATTTACGTTTTTCGTTTATGTTTATAAAAAAAACTGTAAACTAGTTTTTGTTTATTTTTAGAAAAATAAAAACTAAAAACACATTTGGTTTGAACAAAATGTTTGAAAAATTTTAAAAACAAAAAAAGCTTCCGTGGTTCGAACAACTCACGAGGTCCTCCATGTTCCTCCCACATTGCTTCTGTGTTCGTTTTGCATTTTTCTTCAGTTTTTACTTTTGTAAACACATTTTTTCAGTTTATGATTTTTAGCTTAGTTTTTAATTTGAGAGATCTGTTTATAAATCAAAAACTTACCAGACAAGTTTATATGACAATTTTTAAATATAAATAGAAAACTGCGAACGGAATGGTTACCAAACAGACTTACCCACTGTAAATTGCTATTTGCTCCAGTGGGCCTGAAAATAGACGCGGTTGGATATAGCTGAAAGAGAAAAGATTTCATATCTCCATAGAAATCAGCATGCCTATCCCAAGGTTGAGATGCATAACCTCCATATATGTAACCTTCTTTATCCTTAATAATCAACACGGTTGGGCTGTCATCATTTCTGCAATTCAATTGAACAATTACTGATTCCACTCCTACTTAAAAGATAGTAGCAGTAACCAAGAAACTGAAACACAAATGGAAAAGCAGCATGTATAAAATAGTTTTTCATTTAAAAAAAAAAAAGAAAAAGAAAAAAAAAAGCAGCAAGTAGCTACAAAATAATGATTTCCAAGGGTAGGTACAATGTAGTTTCAAATCTCATATCCGAACTGATGACGTTCCCATGAATCATGATAAGTCTATCTAACTGTTAGGTCTCAGAAGAGCTTCTAGTTCTGAAGAAGCCAACCAAACAATTAGGGCCTCAGGAAAAGCAGCCACCGTTTAATTTTTCAAGTAAATGGTTTAGGGAGAGAATAACACCTAAACTAACATGAATGCTGTAGTGAAAAAGTAAACGAATTTATTTTAATTAAATGAACATATAACCTTGACAAAGCAGAATGACAAAAAAGAATTCATGAAGTTGATCTCAATTGATTGGAACACAAGACTTGCTTTAATTATTTCATGACAATTACATCAGCCTACTTAATCCCAGTTTCAGACCTGAAGGACTCGCGTTTGCCTATTAACAAAAGTTTCAGTATTGCCATAACAGAAATTGTGAATAGCAACTTTTAGTTTGAAAAAAAAATATACATATATATATATATATAACGAAAATTCTTATTGAACAAGTAAACAGAAGAAAAAGAAACAAAAGCCATAGAAGAATGCAATTTACTAATTTGGGATGGGTTAAAATTAATCCCAGTATCTTCAATCAAAAAATGTTCAACAATATTTATAATTTTTAAAAGCACAGATACGACATGATATGGACACATTGATATGACAATTTTAAAAAATCAAAACATGACACGACAGGGGCACACCATATAAATATATTTTTATTTACTTAAATGAAAATAAAAACTTCAGTTTCGTAAAATATCCACATCCACAGCAGATTTATTGCAAACAAGCAATTCATGCAAAAAGTGACCAGAAAAATAGAAGGAAGAGGGAAAAAAATCCTAATATGTTACCGGGCCATCATTTTTATACAATCATACAATGTTTTTCCATCTTCAAGTATCCTAATCATAATGAAATAAATAAAATGCAATAAACCACTTCCAAGACAAATGTAGGTGCCAAAAATAGGACTTTTCAGTTAATATGTTATACTGAAATGGAATTGCTTTTTATTTTATCAAAACTCTCCCCAGCTCCTGGTGAGTTTTCCTTCCCAAGCAAGGAACTAAAGAGCCTGAAAAAACTTGAGGCTATCTAAAAATTTGTACTCATTACATCATTCAACTTCAATTCCAAGATAAAGTTAGCACAAAAAGCTGAAAGAAGAATGGAATCTTCTCAACCAACACCAAGTACAAGGAAAACAAATGAACTTCCCATTAAATCTATTTCAATACTGCTTTAGAGCAACTAGAACAGTGTACAAAATAACCGAGCCACTTACGATATGTTGCCCAGGAAGGTGTTGAAACTCAGTCCATTAAATGCACTATGATACACAAGTTTCCATTCATCCAGCTCTAGTTGGGAAAGGGCTCCTCCAATAAGCCAGGCATATTCCTTCTTCAATAATAACAAATTAGACTCAACATTTTCCAAATGCAGTAGACGAGGAACTTGAGAACCTGGCTTCCCTAAGTAAAGAAGTCTTGCATTAATAGAAAAGGAAGACAAATATACAACATTTTACTTAAATCCATTTAAATACTGTTGGAGATGGTCTGAATAATACATGTTATCTTCAAGAATCTGGTAAACATTACTTCAGTAAGAAAATGAAACCTAAACAATAAAAACCTGGATCAGATGGTGACAACAAGCTTCCAAGGTACTTCCTGACTGATGGAAGAAGTGCACACCATTTTCTGAAATCCTCAAAAGACATACTACTTTCAGCACTACCTTCACCACTCTCTGAAAAACTTGCAGCATTGAGGAAAATACTGATGACGACTTGATGTGAATTTGATCCAGCTTCAGAATTTCTTTGAGAGAATATATCATCAAGCATCACCGTTAAAACAGATTCTACATCAGACCTGACAATCCCCAAAATCAAACAAATCAGCTAAACAAAAGCAAAAAAGTTGACTGGAAGATTATGTATGAATTATAATAGCAAAAATTATTGACTTCTCATCCTTAACAGTCTATGCCAGAAATAGAACACCAACCACTAATAATTTAGATCCCTTTGGTTTAAGACTAATCACCATTTCTGAAAATGGAGAAACTGAAATATAATACAAAGACCAAAAATTTTTTAAAAAAAAATTAAACGCATATGTGCAGGGCAATTTTTAAATGCTTTTCAAGAATTTCTTCTATGGGCCATTTTGTATAAAATGAAAAAAAAAAATTAATAACAATAATTCCAAACCTCAGGTTCATCCACAACTGACATCCCGATGGTCCTACTTCAATATTTTAAAATTCCATTTTTGGAAACTGTAATCAAAAACTTGTTTTTGAAAATGACAGCAGATGGAGCCCCATTTCTATTATTGTCCTTCACTGGAAGCAAGCATCAGGTAGATTGTCTTATCCGTAGTTTTGAGACCCAAAAGTGTACAGCACAAACCCCTTTTGTAGATCTTTCAATGGTATGAAAGAATCAAAGATAGCTAAAATCCATAGCCCTTCCCTTCCACACACATATATGTGTCCAAAGTTGTAAAAGAGGGAATTCGGATATGTCTTGAAAGGTTGTGGATTTAACAATCTCCAAAGAAGAAAATTCTTTAGATACACAGTTAATCTATAAATCTGCCAAAGAGTCCTAAGACTAAAGAACCCTAATTGACCTCCCCAGGCTAAAAGACCAAGTGTTTATAGTTCTACCTCCCCAAGATGCCATCTCCAGTCACATCTAGTAACTGATAAATAAACTCTTCAATCTCATCTTTTGTTCCTTTCTCGTAAGTCCCCTGCAATATAAAAATGGAAGCAAATTGATTAAGTTCACATAACTTTGCATTATGATGCATATATTCATGACCCAATATACGTAATCACATATGCATACATATGAACACATGACTGCACTTGCCCAAATTATTCGGTAAATTTACATTTCAAAACTTAAAAGCATGCTTCCTATAGGTTTGCAACCATCCATCTATATTATTAGTTTGCACTTCTTTTTTCCCTGGGCTAGTTTGCACTTTCCAAAATCTAAATTATAAGCCATGAATTTTATTGGCTCTGTTTGGTTCAGTTTTTGAAATTTTGAGTTGTATTTTGAAAGATAAGTTGTTGAAAAGAGCTTTGAAAATTGAAAATTTGTTTGGTTTTGAGTTTTGAAAATAATTTTGGAATGATTTGTAGTTTTTTTATTTTTGTAGTTGAATAGATGGGTATGAGAGAAAATTTGATTGATTGATGTGTAGAATGTAAGAATGAGAGAGGAGAGAAAAAAAGTGATTGATTGATTTATTAATGATAAAAAAAAAAAAGAGAGAGAGGAGAGAGGAGAGAGAAAAAAACAATTTTGAAAACTGGTAAATCAAACATGTTTTTTGATTTTTTGATCCAAATGTTAATTTAAAAACTAAACCAAATGGTATTATTTTTCCACATCACTTATCACTTCCCTCATGCTTCTTTCAACGTCGTCAAAATGATTGCTAAATGCTTGTCAACACAACATATGTTGTTTAACCTACTTCTACATAGAATGTTTCGTATTGTCTTGGTAACACATTCTACTCAATTCCACATGCATCAAAAAAGATGAATAAAATTAATATGTTTCCCTAGCGTGCATAGAAAAATTAAAACAAAATTTGGACTATATTACCCATAGGTACATATTTTCTTGCAATGGTTCTTCTTTAAGCATGTTAAGATTTTCGACACACTTTCACTTGGACATGCACATACTCTACCCACATGCAAATGTTAATTACAAAGTTGTAGCCAGTAGGGCATCATCCATGTTCTTATGGAGGGCCAAATCAAAAGCATGATTTTGAATCCTATAAGAGCATCTCCAACCCTTCACCTTTTTCTTCATCAAATTTGTTCAACAATTTATATCAACAACTTGATTTGATATATAGCTTACTCCAATGGTGATAATCAACTTCTCATCAAATCTTTTTCAAAATAAAGAACATATCCCAAAGACATCCTTTAAGCAAAGCAGGTGAAACAAAATTGATTTCCAATCCTTCATTTTTTAGCAATTTCATCAAACTTAAGTGAAAAAGGATTGATGAAAATTTGATGAAAGATTTTATTCATCCCTCATTTGATTAAATATTTGGTGAATGAATTGGATCTCATTTTCACCAAATTTTCATCAAATTTAAATTCAATGAAGGATGTGGTGAAGGATTGGAGATTCTCTAAGCCATGCGATAGTTAAGGGTGGAGGCATAGGTGGTATTGAGTACTCCAAGATTGCATGTATGACACGAGGTAGTTACAAGTCACTTTTGAGAGAAGGACAAATTTATAAAGAGAAAACCAATTCATGTGGAGGAAGCAAGATACTCAAAAGAAGAGAACTGAAAAAAGAATAAAACTACCAATGTGTGACAAAGGAACACCACAATTTGGCAGAGAAGCCAAGAAGCATCTAGCACTTCATAAAATCCTGTGTAGTGAGGGATAACCCCTAATGTAGGAGAATCAACATCGTAGTTGGGGAGTCTAAAATTCACAAAAATGAGCCTAACCAAGATTTTGAAAAGATCAATCACTGGCTCTTATAAATTGGAGTGATTCAACACATCTCCCTACCAAAATTCAATTTAAATGATTGTCTTCCTGAAGAATAATGAACCACTGCATTTTGCCTCCATCAAACCAAAAAGATCAGTGATTTCTGCTCCATTATCTATCTATAATGCAATGGCTCTAATTTAAGTGGAGAGGAAACAATATACACAAGCATATTCCACCGATAAATAACCAAAGTTGGGCTGACCAACCTAGCTTCAGAATTTGGTATCTCCAAAGCTATACTTTACCCACAGCAGCAGATAAGGCGTCATTCTGACATGATTCTACATGTTGCAACAATCTCTTCAACATCGTATTTTTTAAAATTTATTATATCTTTGCTATCCATGACCACCCTTGTGATATCTTCCAAGGCTTTTGAAGAAAAAGTGAACGGCCTGCATTTCCAAATATGAGGAACTCTCAAATATTATGGCCATAAAACTAGAAATAGAGATCTCAATTGCATCCTTCAATTCAAACAATTCGTCAGTAACACCAGCACTTTATTTTTCTTGTTGCAACTCCTGTTATTTCTCAGTTATGGTAATTGCAGCTTTCTTTTTTTAATGAGTAAAATTTTATTAATTGAAAAAAGAAGGTGGGTAGGGCCAATTTCACATGAGGAACACACAGCAAAAGAAACATAAAACTCACAATCTAAGCTATCAAAAATAAATAACAAAAGGGAGCCCAACCTCTAAATTAGAAAAACTGAGAACTTTTTTCACGTGATAACCCCTGATAAGTGATCCAAAGAAAATTAACAACAATAATAATCAGTGATTGTAGAAATTTGACAAAACACTTCTTCCCTACTTCGTGCAAAATCCCTTAATTTCCTGTCTTCATTCAACTTCACATTTATCTATTGATCTTTAACCAACTTTTACCAAAAAAGGCCGAAGGCCACACCCTGAACTAATTTCATTAATGGTGCTTACTTTAGAAGTAGCAATTTCCTTCTAGCTCCACTTGGGAAGCCCACCAATATGTTTCACACGGACTTCCTTTTTGCTGCTAATGAGTCCTAGAAACTGGCCTCTATTTGGAACTTTTTGGTGAAATCATATAAGGTAGCTCAAGCCAGGTTATCACTCTTGGTAGCTAAAGCTTTTAACATTGCACCAAACAATGCCCCTATTTGCACAACAATGACTAATGTACACACCAATAAAGAAAAGTGATGTGACTCGAGTAGAATATGCTACTACATGAACATGAGGAAGACCAAAAAGAAAAAAGGGAAAACTTGAATACATTAGGTGAAACGGACCAGATGCCCAGCAATTTAACGAGTTCAATGGTCCTGAATACTGTTGAATGGGTAGAAAAACAATAAAATTGTGCATATGATTCCAAGCAATTAGGACTCTCTACGAATGTGAATGTGAGCAAACTAAAGTGAGCCAAGTATATGTGCTCTAGCTCATCGTGATAAAGACAACAACTTTTGCTTGTGTGATGGGTAGTTCAGCAGATCACAAGCCAACTCAGCACAATCAACACATGAATATTCCAGAGCTCCCTTTAGTCCAACATAGATTGAACTTCCTTGTCTTAAGATGTACAGAGTAAAATGATTTCAGTTCATGCTGATACCAGCATCAGGATCACTGATCACACGTACTTGTTTTTTCAAAAAGCCTTAATGATCCATTTATGAGCTAAGATAATGCAGTAACCATGTTACCTACAATGTGGATCGTTCCGATGTGTGGAACGGAAATAGGAACATGGTACGCCACATGCTCTAAAATGTGGTACGACAAGAGTGGACTTGTTTATATTCTACTGAAAAATTTAAGGTACTTCTAAACAAATTTTCTTTTAACTATTAGGCATCTAGTAAAATTTATTTTTATTTATTTTTTCATTTTTTGATGTTTTGTCTTATCAAAACTTAACTCACCTTAAATTTTGCTTCATTATATTTGATTTGTTTCCCCCTCATAATAAGGTAACATTTAAGAAAATATATTAAAAAAAAAAACTTTTGGGATAGCTTCGGAAAACTAAATTTACCGTTTTAGAACGGAAGTGTACCATATTTCAGAACATGTGTACGAATAAGTAATTTGCTAGGGTATTAGCTTTTTCTGGTAACACAGCATAGTAATTAAATGACTTATTCACCCAAAAAAAGTACAGAAATTAAAAGGCATTATAATATCTATGTCTTATAATTAATCCTTTGGGACAGAAAGAAATTCAATCCAACACTCAACTTGATTTAGTTCAATGGACTTTTACACGATTTCAGAAAGAAAGCAAGAAAAACCATAAAAACCCAACTAAACAAATAGAAAACTGGACAGTGTCATCCAAACACCCATAGCATGAAATCAATCAATTGGTTAACAGAATCACAGAAACTATGAAGTAATAGTATAAAAAGCAATGATGAAGAGCTCACTTTAGCAATTACAAGGTCCTGGAATGTGAGTTTTTTATCATGACGATTCTGGGTGACCAAATCAAACATTCGATCGCCAAGAGAACCTTGAATCCCAAAATACGCCTAAATGGAGAGGTGAGAGATTACAATTTAAGTTTGGGAGAAGAATTGGAAGTTAGGGAGAGAGAGAGAGAGAGAGAGACCTTGAAAACAGCGGGAGAGATGAAGTGGTTGTTGGTTTGAGATTGGGCAGCGAGGGATGCGAACAAGGTCTTGAGATCTTCAAGCTCATTTTGGGAGAAAGCTCTACAAAAAGGGAAAAAAAAAAAGTGAACTTTGTATGAGCTCCTTATATATATATATATATAGAGAGAGAGAGAGAGAGAAACCTGGTGGCAGAAGAGAAGCGAGGATCGGTGGAAGGTGACTGAGCGTTGCCCATCGTTCCTCTCCTCCACCTCTCTCTTTGTTCTGCGGTGCCGTGTGGCAGCTATTTTCCAGCTTTAGGCTCTGTTTGGTTTTTGAGAAAACGGTTAAGTATAAATAGAAAAGATAATTATAAATCTGTGGAATCAAAATGAACCATTTTTTTTTTTTTTTTTAGAGATTTTAAAAATTTTTTTATATTTTTTTATCAAAAGTTATAAATCTGTGGAATCAAAATGAACCATTTTTTTTTTTTTTTTTAGAGATCTTAAAAATTTTATTATATTTTTTTATCAAAAGTTAGATATGAGTGTGGATCTTACACCCAGACATGTAGTAGAAAATTTAATAAAATTTTTAAAATTTCTAACCTTATTGTTTTCCCCCTTTTTTATTTTTACATTTTCTGATATTTGATGTTAGTAAAAACGAAATTCAACAAAAAGATTGGGTTATTATAGTTTCACAATTTGCACTTGTACAGACGAACCCTTGCATTGAGGTGGATCACTTCTAGGAGGGATCTAAGATTGAGGTAATTGCAGTGGTTAGGATTTGCAGGAAAGGAACACCGGATGGAGAGAACAAAAATTTTAAGTGATGGGGGATGACCATGATGGTGGCTATGGATAGGAAAGGCAAATGACAGACTAACGTTGTATTTGGTTAGGAGTTTTAATAAAGAATTTTTTTTTTTAAAAAAAAAGCAGATAAAAGGTAAATAAAATGTGAATAAAATATATATATATCTCACCTAATTTCACATATTTTTTCTCTTTTTCTTTTTTAAATTTCTTCTCAAATCTCTTCAACCAAACACAATGTGAAGGTAATGAGAGGATGGAAAAGAATTAAGGTTAGCAAGGGAAGTGTGGAAGTTGTAGTAGAATGGGGAGAGATGGAGGGGGAATGGTAGCCATGGAGGGTTTATCTCATTACACCCCAATTAACTAAAATTATCTAATAAAAGAACCTTCAAAATCTAAAAATTACAATACGTAATTTCTCATTTCATCCACCATCTTTTCAACCACCTTCACCGGACCACTACCGCTATTACCCACCTTTATGCCACCCTCAGCCGATTTTTTTTCTCACTATCACCTCACAACCACCTTCTTTTCTTTTTTTACTTTTTCGGCTCCCTTTGGAAAACCTTATATTTCTCTTTCTGTCTTACACATACAAGTAGGTGCAATTGCAAGGCTTTACTGGAGAGGAGATTGGTCGTAGAGGAAAATAGGATTGTAATAGAGAATGTCTATAAGGAGAGTTACGGAAGAGAAATGGTAAATTGAGAAAAAGATTGCGACAAAAGATACTGTAACAACAAAGGAGATTGGGAAAGATTTTACAGTTGTATGATAAGGGTCACAATGGTAAGAGGGTTGCAAAGATGGTAGTTGAGACGATAAGGGATTGAGAATGTGGTAATTAGGGCCGTTGGAGGGCTACAAAGGTAGTTGTTATGGTGGTGGGGGCTTGTAAGGTGGTAATTGCAATGGTTGCAGGGTGGTGGTTAGAGATAGTAATGGTTGTTCGAGGTAGATGAGGTAAGGTTTGAAAGTTGAGTGTAAAGGGAAGAGAGAGATTAAGGATAAGAAAATTAGGTGGAATTATGGAGTGTGTAAAGAGACAATATGAACATTTTAAAAAAAAGGTGTAATGAAATAGAACTGTGGTGTAAGTATAATTACCATTTATTCCATCTATCATTAAATTTGGAAAAAAATCCTACTAAATTGATAATAGTTTTTGATTTTTGATTTTGTATTATATATTTTCCTATTTTAAAACTATTTTTTTTATATTAATTATTTTCTTAACAATTATTTTAATCATTTTACACCCAAAAATAAATTTAAAAAAAATGGAACAAAGAAGTGGAATTCAAGTCTTGTAATGACAAAAAAATGGCCCTCCCTCTTTTTTTTAATTTTTTTTTCCATTATCTCTCTTCCTCTTTCCTCCCTCAATCTCATCATCATAGGTCACCCTTCTCTTACCTTCTCTATCTGTGATGATCACCTCTCTTTCTCCAGTCCTGCTAATGCCCTCTTCACTCCCTTAGAGCATCCTTATCAAACCAGTTAAAATCATTTTTTAGCTAAATTAGTGATACTGTTCATCAAAACTAGACTGTATCAGTCTCGTTAATGTTTATCGCTAATATACGAGTGCTACAGTACCTCGCTACAACATGCGAGGTAATGTTTATCGCTACAATAGGCGGAGTTATGACCGAACATCTGTCCGGAAGTCCGACTGGTCAACCTGCCGATCAACGACAATTTTTTATTTTTTTATTTTTTTTAACATTTCCTCCAGTTTTGTCTTTTGTAAAACATAAGAATTGTTTAACTCATCAATTTAATTATAAAAAAAGAATAACAAATATTTTAATAGGATTGAATTAAAATAGAGAGTTTGATGCAGCGGAGTAACTAGCTAAAATAGAAAAATGACTTTTTAAGTTATAATTTGACTAAAATTTTGAAGAGCCCGGTACTAATGCTCTTACCACCCTAAGCCTTTCTTTAGCCTCTTCTTATTCCACTTATTTATCTTTCACCTTTTCTGATGCCACATAAGGCCTTCATCATTTTCTTTTCTCTTATCTTTATTTATTTATTTTGGTCTATTTGCCTTCCTCTTTTCCCATTGCAATTTGCAATCCTCTTCTTTCTTCACATGCCATCGCTACCTTCATATTCATATTTCTTTACCATTACTATCCCTTTGTTCTTTGTGAACTCTAAGATTAAAATCAACAATAAATGATATTTTCCCCTCTTTAAGCCTGTAAATATAGAGATTTTTTAAGAAGAGATGTGTGAGATTTATAAGAGATGAAGAAGATGTGCAAAAAAGATATAGGATTTGCATTGTTGTGGTAGGTAAGAAAGGTAAATAGAATGTTGTAGTGGGGGTGATAATGGTTTCATTGTAGATGTAGAAGGTGAGAGAAAAGGGTTGAGAATGGCGGTAAGAGAGGGTTGGAGGTGTTATATATGGGGTAACGGGGTAGGGTAGCTATTGGTTAATGATTACAAGACCTCAATTCTTGATTGGAGGGGACACCAAAGGCAGAGGGGTAATGGTTGGTGTAGACACCCTATTTTTGACCGACCTCAAGACTTTGACGTCATCGATTGTGCACTGGATGATTGCGCATGTTTGTGCTTGTTTTGAGCGCCCGAAGATCTCGACTGAGCGCCTTGTCTTTGAGCCTCTTAACTCTTTGTGTTTTGGCCTTGTTTTTGGGCCAAACCTTGTTGCCTCTTGCCTAGGGGAAAAGAAGGCCTTGCCGGCCACTTGTGGCATTTGCTGGCCACTTTCCTCTCTTGTAGGCCACTTGAAGTGGTCGATAGGCTAGGGGAAGTGGCTGGCCGGCCACCTTAACTGGCCAGCAGCCAATTTTCTCTCTTTTTAGATATTTTCAGATCTTTTGAGCCAGCTGTGGCTCACTGAAACTCATCCTCCATATACATGTATAGAGGGATCAAGCAAGCCTTTTTGCTTGCTTGCTCTATATAAGGGGAGGTCCCTCCCTCTTTAGAGAGGTTGACAAATTTTAGAGCTAAATTTCTCTCTCTATATATTGCGTTATATTGTGCTTGAAAGTGTATTTTCTTCATATATTTGCACTAAAACACCTAATCAAACACCACTACCTTGGAGCTGAGGTTCTTGAAGGTTTGTTTGGAGCTCAAAAGCTGGTTTTGGCTCAGAGGAAGACCTGTCTTGCTGCTATTCTTCAAGGGTAACAACTTGTCCCTCTTAAGCTTTGTTTTGATTAAGTGTTTGATCACCTTTGCATGCTATTTTAAGGTTGGTTTTAACCTCTTAACAACTCTAATTTTAAGGCTTTAAAATGTTGATTTGAGTCTTGTTTGGTTAGGGGGTGTTTCCCCTTCTTTGCTCTTTGGCTTATAAAGCCTCTTGAGCCACCTTTCTTAGCCTTTGTAATCACCTTTGTTTGGCCTTTCTACCACTGAAACTCAAAGGAATTTTAGTGGTAGAAAGTTGGTTTTGAGGCTCAAAATAAGAGGGGGGTGGTCCCCTCTCATTGTATCTTGTTTGTATGCATAGATGGCCTATCAAGTGAGCATGTGTTTCTTCCTTTTTGAAGCTTAGTTCAAGTATGTTTTTGTGACTTTTTGGACTTACTCCAACTCTATTTTTGGCTGGTTTGGCCACCTATTGCTTGTTTTTTACACTTGTAGTGTAATCTTGTTTAATAGCCTTGAATGCCTAATGAGTTAGTCCATCATTCTAGCATATGTTAGCTTGATTCCAGCATATTTTTGGCCTTATTTTAGCATGCTTTAGCTTTGTTTTGAATGGCCTTGGTCCTTTGAGGCTTGTCTTGTATGGCTATGGTTTAGTTGGCTTTGCTAGCTTTATGTTTTGGGCTCTCTAGCATGCTTTGTTTGAGTTATTTCCATGATATGGCATCATTTAGCTTGTAATTTCAGAGCTTATACCATTTTCATACTCTTGCATGTGTTACTCCTTCATTACTTCTAAGAGTTAAGCCTTATGCCTTGCTTGTTGGCTAATTGGTATGCATGATTTTCTTGCCTTGTAAACTTCAATCTCAGCATGATTTGGCCACTGTTTTGGCATGTTTGATGTCTGTTTTGATTTAGTTTAGCCCTTTGAGGCTTGTGTTGTAAGGTGGTGGCACAACCCCTTTCATTAGCTTAATGAGTTAAGCCTTTGAGTATGCATTACATGAGTTGTTTGCATTGTTTTTAAGTCACTTAGCATGCTATTTCAGTGCTCAAATGTGTGTCATTGCACTCCATTGTTTCAAATTGTCATTCACCTTGAAAGTGGCCTTAAGCCCCTTGTTGGCTTGAGCATGAACTTGAGGCATTCATGCCTATTGGTTTTAATCCTCCCTTGAGGATTTCTACTAACCAATAGCATGATACTTTCGTCATGCTCAAGGCACTCGAAGCTTAGGTAATCTTTCAAATTAGAGGACTTTTCACAATTGAACTTAATCAATTAAGGAATGGTTTGGTAATGTAAATGAGTAAACAAGAATTGAGCCAAGTAAAATATGCCAAGATAACATATGTGTGTTGCATTGCATG